AAAGCAATTTTTGGCCTAACTTCAACTCAGCAGAGCAGCCACTTGCAATCATTAAGCAGACAAAGAATCAAATTGCCTCTATGTCTTATTAATACATGTTGAGATGATCTAAAGGAAAGGAATTGGTGTAGGTGAGGACCTATCTCTTGAAGATTTGAAGGAGATTTATGGTGTGTGCTGTTGGCAAATTGTTGCTTTATTTTCAAAACAAACTTATCCTTTGGTGCTATGAATGTATTTACAATGAAGATTAATGACAGAGTACACATTTGTAAATAACTTTTTGATGTTTTTGTATATAGAATGTATGGGAGCTTGCCATTCAATCTGGGCAGTAGCTTTCTGAAATTATCTGATTGCATGCACCTGTGTTACACTGCATTGGCTTATAGTCTTTTTTTTTTTTTGTTCCCCACTATGTTTCTTCTGTGCCAAAAATCCTCTCAGCCAGCCAACTGAGAGCTATTACCAAAACCGAAAACAGTCCTAGGTTCCAAATGTACATCAAAGCCACTAAGTGACCCATATTGAGTTTTTCCTAAATACAAAATTGATTTATATCATAAGGGTGCACAGCTGATTACTTGCAGGAGGACTGTCCTTCCCACCTGACTGCAGGTGCCTGTTCTGCCATGTCATTCTCAATATGACACCTGTAGAAGCTAAATACTCCTCTCTTAGAGAAAAAGATCCATTACTTCATCCCGGTTGCATATTACTATTGACAGTGGAAAACTGTGTCTTACGGTTGGAATCTATTTTACCTAACTCACAATGACAGGAAAACAGGTTTGAGGGAAGATGACTCCATTTTTAGAGAATCTTAGATTGTTCTGATATTAGATTTGAAACAGTAGTATTATCAATTCCCACTTCTAAAACTTCACTAAAGTTAATGAAAATTATCAATTTTCAGGGTAGTGCAGCTTCTTTGTGTCCCATGTGGACATTACTCTTATACTTAGTACAGCTATGTAAAAATCAGAATTCTGTGGACACGCTTATCTTTTTCTTCTCCTGCACATTTAAAAGTATAATAACTGCTTATGTGTTCAAATGAAAACTTGTCTTAATCTTTAGCTTCTTTTATTATTTTATTTTTGCTTTGTTATTTGCTTGTATATTGGTTAATAATTCTTTATATATCACCTATCAGTATCACTCAGCACTCTTTTTATATCGCCTACCAGTGTCAATCTTCATTCTGTGATTACAAGTATTAAAAATACCTGTAGTCTTTGTAAGAGCCTATAAGGTAGGTACTATTGTAATTTTTATAGATGAAGAAACTGAGGCAACACAATAATAAGCTACCCACAGCTAGTAAGTTGTGGGGAATTTAATCATGTATATAAAGAATAATTATTTTGGCCAGGTGCCGTGGCTCAAACCTGTACTCCCAGCACTTGGGAGGCCAAAGTGGGTGGATTACCTGAGCTCAGGAGTTTGAGACCATCCTGAGCAACATGGCGAAACCTTGTCTCTACAAACAATATGAAAATAAGCCAGGTATGATGGTGTATGCCTGTAGGCATGGCTACTTAGGAGGCTGAGGTGGGAAGATGGCTTAAGCCAAGGAAGTGGAGGTTGCATTGAGCCAAGATCATACCCCTACTTTCCAGCCTGGGTGACAGAGCCAGACCCTGTCTCAAGAATTAAATAAATAAATAAAAAGAATAACTGTTTTTATTGTAAATGTAGCAAAAGAAGGCAACGTGTTCATGGACATTTTCCTACTGCTTTACATTCTAATCACTTATAGATAGAACCTAGAATAACCAAATAAAGAAGAAATTTAAAATTGCATGATATGAAATACATGAGGCAGCCTTCTCTACAAGCTGAAATCATAATATCTTGCATGAATTGCTTAAAATATTTGCATTAGCTTTTTACAACTAAAAATGCATTAATCTTAGATTGCTGATATAAGTGTTAACCTTAAAAAGTTTATGTATGCACTATTTGAAACCAAGAGAAGACATTCTCAGGCCACTTAAAATAATCTCAAAGCAATATATCAGGATAATAGTTAGGATAGTTTACAAAATCCAAGAGAGAACAAAGAATCAGGTGATGTAAGGACTTCTAGGATTTAGTATGAATTCCGGCTTTTATTATGAATTAGAGAGGAAGCCATTGAAGGGTTTTGCCCAGTTATAGCAGTTTATTCTCTTCCCTTGCCTTTATATATTTAAAACGCCAGGGATTGACCCAGCCTGAGGTCAACTTTGACTTGGCAATGCAAAGGATTTTGTTAGGGTCTGATCGTTCACTTGGCGCTTCTCAGTTCTGCTCTCGTCTGCGAGCAAATTACATCAACTCAGCTGAAGTGAAGTTCTGTGGTAGCCTCGTGACCTAGGAAAAACCAATTGTGTGAATGACTGATACATTTCCAGTCAAAACTAATCTCATCATTTTCACTTCACTGTCAAAGAAATGATCTCCCTCTCTTTCCTCTTTCCTGTTGGGCTTTAAGCTGTGAAGAGTTAAGTTTGCTGCAGTCAGCAGCCATCGTGCTACTATATGAACCCTGTGACAGATAGATGCTCAACCACGAAATCAAGCATTCATTTCATTTCCATTTATTGCTATTTCTGCTTATTTGAGTTTCTTTTAAAGCTACTTCCTTTATAGACACACACATATGCCACTAATAAAGCAGGCTACATGTATTCTCACTGATGTCCCATAAGAGACATAGAACATCTGCATTGACATAGAACCATAGTATTAAGGTTCTATTTGGTGGCTCTTGCTAGATTACCTTTCAATCCTCAACCAAGAAGACAGAATGTCGTAACTGACTTTTTCCAGATATTGTCTATCTCTGGTGCTGGAGAAAGTAGACAGGTTAGCATTGATAGGAGGGCCCCACATTCCCATGAAAAGCGTGCATGGAGAAACGTGGATACAGTAGATATGTGAGTGTAGGGCAGAATGAGAAATCTAGAAATACTATATACTGAGTTGGAAAATATGAATGCCTATGCAAATTCAATACTTTTTTTTTTTTTTTTTTTTTTTTGAGACAGAGTCTCGCTGTGTCGCCCAGGCTGGGGTGCAGTGGCGCGATCTCGGCTCACTGCAAGCTCCGCCTCCTGGGTTCACGCCATTCTCCTGCCTCAGCCTCCGAGTAGCTGGGACTACAGGCGCCCGCCACCACGCCCGGCTAGTTTTTTGTATTTTTAGTAGAGACGGGGTTTCACCATGTTAGCCAGGGATGGTCTCGATCTCCTGACCTCGTGATCCACCCGCCTTGGCCTCCCAAAGTGCTGGGATTACAGGCTTGAGCTACCGCGCCCGGCCGCAAATTCAATACTTTTTATCTTATCATAACAAAAATATCACTTCCTCAAAAAGAACTTTCGTGGTTACTCTCTAATGATTCATCTCTCTCACCACCACTACCAACAGCCACTCTCCAGCACATTCATTCTTCCAGTTAGCTTCTAACAGCATATACAAAGTTTTGATTCATTGTTGTATGTTAATCTGTGCCCCGTTAAAAGTTTAACCTACAAGAGGAAGGATATTATCTCTTATTCACCACTATTTTCTTATATGCTTAAAACAATGTCTGCCTCATTATAGATACTTGCAAATATATGCTGAATAAAATGATGGAATGACAAATGTAAATAATATGTACATACGTACATATATAGGTATATGTATTAATTAAAGCTTTTGAGGTTCCATACGTACCAGAGTACTAATTGCTGTATCTTTATTATACCAAGAAATTATCCTAGGTCTATGGGCCAGACACTATTATTACTATTTTGCTGAAGAGAAACGTGAAGCACAGAGACATTTTGTGGCATGTTCATAGCTACCTAGGTAGTAAACAACAAAGATGGGATAGCAAGACGAAAACCCAGGATTGCTGATTAGAAAGCCCACATTATTTACCACCATACAGTATTGCCGACATCAACATTTAGTGTCTTTCCACCATACTGCATCTGAATAGAAACGGGGTAGCACATGAAAGTATTGCTTCTAATTTTATTTTTGCTCTGAAATAAAAAAGCAAATGTAATTAAAGAATATTTAACAAATACCATATGTTGCACATTTCCACATATGGCACAGGATACACATTTGATCAAGATACAATTCTACCCAGCAGAAGGTGGGGGAAAGGAGAAGAAGAAAAGAAAATAAGTAATTTTTTTTTTTTTTTTTTTTTTTTTTTTTTTTTTTTTTTTTTTTTTTTTTTTTTTTTTTTTTTTTTTTTTTTTTAGAAAATATAAGTTGAATCTGATCCTTAATATGATTTTTACTCCATGTATAGTTTTACTCAAATGATAGCTTGTGCACGTGCAAGGACTGACTATGCTATTCCAAGGTACTTTCTATGGGTGAAGGAAAGCAGAAGGAAAAGGGGAAGGGGAGAAGATCATGAATCTCCACTTCATGAAGGAAAAAGCACTTTGGTCCCCAAATATGGCAGAAAACAAGTCAAGTAAGTGGGAGGAATGTTATACAGGAGAGCTTATGCGTTTTGCACGGAGGTCTCGTTTTAGCAATACCTTTTTGCCTTTCTGCTTCCAAATCTTATTTGCTAGTTCAATGCCTTTATATAAAGTCCTGATGATGAATGAAAAGCGCTTCAAGTACTGTTGCCTCATTAAATGCATTATTTATTAATTTAACTTCTAGTACTCTCGATAAAGAGCCAGTTAAATGAGTTGTTGAATACCAGGGGAAAATGAGAACATAATTTTGAATATATATATATATATATATATACACACACACACACACACACAGTTCGTAACTGGATTACATATAATAATGATATGAATATGTCTATCAGTATTGGAGTTGGATTCTGGTACTTTCTCTTGTGGGGTTCTTGTGTTACAGTCAGCATAGATTTCTGGAGCATTCTTCTGTTGATCTTTTGGTGACATCAAACTGTCTTAAGTGGTGTGGGAGGTGCTGCTTCTGCCATGTGAGAATTTGATGGTATAATTAGCACAACCTGTGAAACAATCAGAATGCCATAGGCGAGTCACCCAAATAACCTCAGAGTGCCCCTTTCCTGCCCACATAAAGTCATCATCATCAGAGTTTACTCTTTTCTTCTCTGATTGATTCTCAAGATCATGTAGGGCTTCTCAGTCATTCTTTAGATCAGGCCTGATTAGGACACAACATTCAGTGGTAGCTCTTGACCCGAGCTGTGATGACCACTGCCCTGGTCTTGCAAGTAAATCAGTCTTACAGGTGGATGACAGTGCACAATATGTTGGGTAAACCAAGGTGTCATGAAAAATATGGGGCTCTTCTTCCAAACCAGGTTGCTCATGCTAATGACATCAACATACCCAAATCATGATTTGCTGGTTATGAATAAAGCATTGCAAAAACCACACTGGCCCAGAATAGCAGGAATCATCATGAAACTAAGAAAAGTTCTGGTTATTCTTCCACAAACTCAGTGCAACATTGGGTTGGTAGGGCATGATGGAGGACCAGGAAGAGACAGAGATTTAGCCAAGATATGCCCCAAAGCCACTGCTTTTCTGGACTCACACCAGGAGATTAGAGAAACAACATTCCCCAGCTTCTATGCTAAGAGCCAAAGGGAACACAGACTTAAATATTATGACATGAAAGTTACTTCACTTGATGAAATTACAAAATCATTGGTAATTGCTGAGAATCTCTGACTTCTAGGGTTTTATGATGCAAAGCCCCACTACTAGAGTCAATGCGCTATAGTCCATCTCTCTTCTATGAGGGAGGGCTGTCGGGGAGTGGGATGTGGTGTGGCCTGGAAATCCCTAAAGAAGAGAGAGAGGCACAAAATGATGGAGAAAGGCACCAGAGAAACAATCTCATCCAACTACAGTTACTTTATTCTTTGACTGACAGTTTTGTCTGTCTTTCAGACTTTGGGTAATGAAGTTAATGAGTGGCCGTTGGGGTTTTACTATCCATTTCCTCATTCTGGAACTCTCAGTTCTTGGAGGATATCCCACCCCGTTATTTCCAGAGCCTCTTTCTTAATTTTTTCTCTCCTTCCATTCCTCACTTTCCTCTCTCAGTGTGACGTTCTTTTGGCTTAACTGCCGGGAGCATCTGCGGCAGGTCTCAGGGTAAGAGAGTGGGCAGGTGTGCACAGACTGATAGAGAAGTCTGAGATCATGACATTCCTTCAGTATTCTAGGAAAAGTTGTTGTAATAGGATAATAGAATAAAACCAAGTACTTTGGGGTACCTCTTCATTGTGAAATATTTTCTTATCTGGATTCAAAGGTTATGCCCTTTGAGTGAGAAAGGAAGGGGAAAAAGAGCTTTTATTTGGCTATTGTGCTAGGCAGAGTTCTAAGGTGATACTCACTGACCCCTTGTGATTCCCTCCCCTCAAGTGTGGATGAAACCTGTGTATAAGATGGGATACAAGTCCCGTGTGTAGGTACTGATTAGTTGACTTTCAGTTTATAAAAAACTCATTATTCTGGATGGACCTCACCTCTTCATGTGAATGCTTTATGAGAGGATTAAAACACTAGAGACTCTGACTCTCCTGCTGGTCTCAAAGAAAAAGTACATTGTCATGAGTTCTCAATTTAAAGGAAATTAATTCCACCACATTCACATAGAAGAGAATCAGAAGCTTTAGACAAGGCCACAGCTCCAGCCAACTCCCTGATGACAGACTCATCAGATTCTGAGCCAAGGACACACATCAGCTGGGCCCAGACTCTTGACCCATGGAAACTGAAATATGTGTACTGTGTTAAGACTGTAAGTTTGTTTAACTGATTATACAACAATATGAAAGTAATACAGATACCTTCAAATGAAGGCCAATACTCACCTCACCGGGGCTACAACAAAGCACTTCACATCCAAAGGCAGAGAGGGACACAGCAATGCAGAATTCCAGCACACTTAAGAGGAGCACCATGCCATCCATACCCTAGGAGAAAATTCATAACAAAAGAATGTGATAAATGGAGATGACAAAAGGAAACATTTACCAGGAACCACAATGTCATCAGAGAAAAAGCATTGGTTGGGAGTCAGGAGACCTGCCTCCCAGTGGCAGCCATTCCCTTGACCAATTCTTGATCTGCTGAAGTAACTTCTCACTTTTTTCACTGATAAAATAATCACGGACATTTATTCCCTAGTTCAATACCTCCCAGTGCTATTGTGGACATGGAAGATGAAAGTGCTTTAAAAAGTTAGGAAGGTAGTATAAAGATAATTGTCATCTTATCCTATTGAGTACTAGAAACTTGTATCATTGACAGAATATTATGATTCCATATCTTAGTGATTGTAAGCAGAGTAACGGTCCCCCAGGGAGGTCTGCATCCTTGTCCCCCTAATCCTTAGCTTCTGGGGATTAGAACGCAGACCTCCCTGGGGGACCATTGTTCTTTTTGCACAGCAAAAAGGATTAAATTTGATGAAATTAAGGTTGCTTATTAGCTGGAATGAGAGAATTTTTCTGGATAATTCAGGTGGGTTCAAAGTAATGACAGAATCCTTGTAAGTGGAAGCAAGAGGCAGAATAGAGTTCAAGAGAGTTTGGAAGATGCTGCATTGCTTGATTTGAAGGTAGAGGATGGGATGACAAACCAAGCAACATAGGCAGCCTACAGAAGCTAGAAAAGGCAATAAAACTTATTGTCGCTTAAGCCTTCAGAAAGGAGTACGCCCTTGCCAACACTTTGATTTTAGCCTAGTGAGACCCACTTTGAACTTCTGACCTCCAGAAATATAAGATAACCAAACTGTATTGTTTTGAGACACTAAATGACTTCATGTGGTTCTGCCTAATTTGTAGTCATTTGTTACAGTAACAATAAGAAGCTAATACAATAATGAACATCAAGTAGGTCAGTCTTTAATCCATCTCCCCAGAGCACTGGCTTTAGGTCTAGTCTTCAGCCAAGAAACATGGTCAAAATTTGGAGAACATGGGGCAGCACACTCATTTCTAATAATTTTACCCTGCATTAGGCCGGGCACGGTGGCTCAAGCCTGTAATCCCAGCACTTTGGGAGGCCGAGACGGGCGGATCACGAGGTCAGGAGATCGAGACCATCCTGGCTAACACAGTGAAACCCCGTCTCTACTAAAAATACAAAAACTTAGCCGGGCGAGGTGGCAGGCGCCTGTAGTCCCAGCTACTCGGGAGGCTGAGGCAGGAGAATGGTGTGAACCCGGAGGCGGAGCTTGCAGTGAGCTGAGATCCGGCCACTGCACTCCAGCCTGGGTGACAGAGCGAGACTCCGTCTCAACAACAAAAAAAAAAAAAAAAAAAAAATTTTACCCTGCATCGATGCAGGGATTATCTGGTTTAAATATTCTCTCTTTTCCTCTCCACGGTTAGGGATAGTCCTTCTGTTGAGGAAGAGCCAATAGACCAAGAGCTTAGGATATGGGTGATGCAGACTTAACGAGACCTTGAGAATATCTGCATTCATTGATTTTTTATTTTCTTGTGCCTTCAACAGCTGTGGTGGCCTCTGTGTTTCCAATATTGTTGTAGGCACAGAATATAGAGCAGCAAACAAAACAGACACTTCCCCTGTCTTCAAGGATTTTACCATCTAGAAGGGTAGACTAGAAGATGGCAAGCTTTCCGTAAAGGCCAGATAATGTACATTTTAGGTTTTGCAGACTGTAAGGTCTCTGGCACACATATTCAAACCTGCTGTTATAACACAAAAGCAGCAATACACAATACATAAATAAACGGGCTTTGTTAACATTTCAATTAAACTTTATTTACAAAAACAGGTACAGGATTGGGCTTCCAAAAAACGTAGCATGTATATAGACCTGTGGACTGATTGTGCAGGTGCCCAGGCAAGAATAGACCCGTTGCTTCAAATCCCAGGAAGCCCTTATGGAGGTCCTCTGCTATAAAAACAGGCATAATAATGTTCACACGATTAATAGGAATTCATCCTGGCCTCTGGGAAAGGTGATTGAAATGAATACAGAACCAGCTACGTAATTTATAGATTCTCTTGTTAAAATTACATATATATCTTAGCGTGAGCCATACGAAACTGCTGTCTTTCTAGGTTAAGTATAGTTGATCACTGGCAGTTCCATATGGTTCTGCCTAATGATTCCAGGTGGTAGACTCTACTTTTTGCTAGAGCTCAACTTTTTCTAGCCTCTTTAATAATTATAAGGTTTCCAGCATTTCTATCTTTTTCTTCCAGGAGAACTGAAGTTCCTTTGTGGTAGGGAACTATTCTCTTTCTTATGTCTACCGGGGCGCCAACCCTGCGATGGGGCATACACTATGGACCCATAGACCTGTGGACTGAATGTGCAGGTGCCCAGGCAAGAAGAGATCCATTGCTTCAAATCCCAGAAAGCTCTTATGGAAGTCCTTTGCTATAAGAACAGGCATAAAAATGTTCACACAGTTAACAGGAATTCATCATGGCCTCTGGGAAAGGTGATTGAGATGAATGCAGAACCAGCTAAGTAATTTACAGAGTCTCTTTCTAAAAATTTTTTTAAAATAATTTCAAGATAGCAACAGCAGTGCATTAGATCAAGCACAGGGCTCTTCTATCTCTGAAGTCCTGAGTAACTGCACAGGTCCCATGCTCACAGGTCCCATAGGGCTCACGAAATCAGCCCTATGAAGCTGGCCAATTCCAGATTTTGTCTCTATCATTGTTCATTGAAGTCTATGAATGAAGAGAGCCTCATAAATTAAAAGTAAGGTTCTTCTTCTGGATAACAATAGCATATCAGAGGAGAATTAGAGACAAGAAGTTCTACAATCAAATCTTGCTTTTGCCAATTTCTAACTGAGTGACACTGGGAAAATTTGTCAAATTCTCAAAAGAAGCTTTCTTTTCTTATTTTGAGTGAGTGGCAAGAAATAAAATTACTTACTATAAAAAGATTTAGATATCTCAAGGGAAGTAAATTAGTTTAGCAAAGACACCTCAAGCGGTTATTTTCATGTGACTAAGTAGCCCTCAAGATTATGTGGGATTAGCTAGAAATGAAGTAAACAGAATGCAATTGATTCTGTCTAGTAAGTTAGGAAGAGTGTTGAGTTTTCACATACACATGAGGGAAGGGCACAGTGAGGAAAGAACTAAGCAGTAAGGCAAATGGCTGAAAGTTCATAGGAAAAGTAACTGAAAATGTAGTGGTGTTGAAAATGACCAATAGGCTTTTTAATAATAAAGATCTGGCCAGGCGTGGTGGTTCACATCTGTAATCCCAGCACTTTGGGAGACCGAGGTGGGTGGATCACCTGAGGTCGGGAGTTCGAGACCAGCCTGGCCAATATGGGGAAACCCCGTCTCCACTAAAAATACAAACATTAGCCAGGCATGGTGGCACATGCCTGTAATTCCAGTTACTTGGGATGCTGAGGCAGGAGAATCACTTGAACCTGGGAGGTGGAGGTTGCAGTGAGCAGAGATTATGCCACTGCACTCCAGCCTGGGCGACAAGAGTGAAACTCCATCTCTAACAATAATAATAATAAAGATTAAATTGTGCATTTTAGTGTGCTGTGATGTGCTGTAATAACTCTTCCTCCCCATATTTACCCAATGGCCCAAAACATGAAGAAGTGTTATTACTTACAAAATATTGTGTAAGTGGCAATTTTCAGAATAAAGCAATTAAGATCGCATTGAGATAAGGACAATTGGTACAAAAACAGGTAGTAAAATTCAGAATGGAGATTGAGAATTTTTCAGGTGCCACATGTTGAGGATAAAAGTGATTAACATTGGAAGAACATCCAAAGATGTTGGAAAGGATACTGAGTTACTCACCACTTAGAAAACACTGTTCAAGACAATTTTACTTTATTATTAGAGAATAGGGACTGACATCTCGACCCCATTTTTAGAGGGGTCTGGAGGAGATAACAGTAGACACTGCATCAATGTTTTAAAATTAAACAGATAAATTTATGCAAAATACCCAGCACAGTAACTACTAAGGAGTAGGTGTTCTATAACTATAAGCTTTCTTCCCATTTTGGCTCATCACATATAGAGGAAAAATAAAGACAGAGATGAGATGTGTACCTGAATCCTAACTGAAAGGTTATTCTATTTCTCAATCACTTCCAACTTCCAAAGTCATTCAGCAATTAGGGAATGTTAATTATTGTTGTTCCCAGAGCCAGCACTCCCCCAAACTTGCTTCTGTGATATCTCACGAAAAGAGAAAGCACTTACCATTAAAATGGACACAGTCATGTAACAATTATTTGACAACTGGTTCTGGTTACAGTAATGGTAACGGAATGAATACAACGTCAAGCTTATTGCATTGATTACGATCCCTGTTATAGCAAAGACTGAGCTGGTGATATTCATTCCTAGACTACCTCCGACCTAGAAAGAAATGAAAATTAATGAAGCAATCCAACATCATCCTCAGATATATCTCTATTAATTACTTTACACTGCAGTCTATCTTTATCTTGATTATTTCAATAGTCTTCTAACTTGTCTCCTTATAGTGGTTTCAATTCTAATCCCTTGCCAAAACACAAATATGATCCCATGACTCCCCAGCTTAAATTCTTCAGATAATTCCTGTGAGCGGATGAGATAATCTCCAAATCATTTAGCAGGGTTTCAATGATTTTTTACACATTAGCTGGACAGTCCTATCTGTGTCCTTCCCTGCCATTCCTTGCTTCCGGTGCCTGGTCTCTTATTGTTCTAAACACTGCTTGCCTCTCGTGCCTTTCTACCTTTTACATTATTTTTCTCAGTTGTGCATTCCCTTTCATACCTTCTCTTCTCATGGGTCCCTGCAGACACTAGGAAGTTGGGTTAGGCCAGATTTGGAAAACCCATACTGATCATGCTCCACAGTTTGATATTTATCTTTTGAGCAAAGAAAACTCAAATATGGTGTTTAGCTAGAAAAACTCTTGTTGAGATCTTGGCTTTTCCATTTTGTTGGCTTTATGAAAGGCATATTGACATGAGAGTTACATTTTAAATTTGCTTCTTCTGATGTAATAACTTTATTGTGAATTTCTTATACTGAAAACTCAAAATCCTGTTTGGATACAGTTGAAATCTATTTTTTTTTTTCTTTTTGAGACAGAGTTTTGCTCTGTCGCCAGGTTGAAGTGCAGTGGCATGATCTCAGTTCACTGCAACCTCCGTCTCCAGGATTCAAGCGATTCTCCTGCCTTAGCCTCCTGAGTAGCTGGGATTACAGGCATCCGCGACCATGACTGGCTAATTTTTTGTATTTTTAGTAGAGAAGGGGTTTCACCATGTTAGCCAGGCTGGTTTCAAACTTCTGACTTCAAATGATCCGCTCACTTCAGCCTCCCAAAGTACTAGGATTACAGGCGTGAGCCACCGTGCTTCGCCAGAATCTACATTTTAACCAATTGCTCAATAAACATTATGCCACACCAATACTTGGTGTGACTGTCATGGGCTGAATCCCAAGCTGCGGAGTTTTTTTTTTAGTGATTCCACTTCATATTTGTTCTAAATAATTCTCTATATCTTCATAAAGTTTCCCTCATCAACTACCTTGACAAAATATCCATTATGTCAGTAATTCTATCACTAGCCTTATTGCAATTTTTGAAAGACAGATCCTGCTAAGTAAAATGCACAATCGCTCCTGATTTTTTAAAAGCAAACAAACAAAACCTGTTTTATACCCTGGCAGAATACATTATTGATTAATCCTTTCCTTTTGATACCCCCCACAAAATATTACTCACCAGACCTTTTGTTGTTCTAATTCCTGCTGCAACTGATAAGGATCCTGAAATAATAAACTAGGAATGAGAGAAAACAATGGAGATAAAAAGCTTTAAACAAGTTTTGGAAATCACAATTCAGTAAACTTTATTCCAAAGTAGATAGATATGTATAAATAGGTCAATTATCTTAGAAAGCAAGAGATTGCACATAATTTTCTCTTTTCCCATAAAGAACAGAGAAATTCTGCCAGATGAGTCCATTGGATAATTTATCAAGCCTTTCAAATAATAGCTAACTGGAATGGTATTAAAACTGTTTGAGGACACCGACAGATAAAGCTTCCAAATTCCTGATAAGAAGTAATTCTTATGTGGTATCAATATTAAATACAATAAACAAAAAATGTACTAAAATAATTCTCATTGAAAATATGTTTAAAAGGTTATAAAATAAAATAGTAGCACATAAAATTTAGTTCCCAATTATTTGATAACTAGAATACACTACTTCATTTGAATCCATCAATGGGACAATTATTTTTCATTTAGCCAGAATAGCTAGTCAAGTTGGTTATAAGACTCTCAAGTTGGTTATAAGACTCTCTGTCTTATAATATTCCATTGCTAGAGTTTTCTATTTCCTTTACAAATTTGATCTCAGATGATTCAAAAATGATATCTTCATATAAAGAAACTGGACTAATCAAATAGCTCAATAAACTTCTTTAGTTTCCAAATACCCAGACGTAGAGATGATTCATGTTATCTAAATCACCATTGGAGAAAAAGAAAACAGTAGAGCAAATCATCCATCGTGTAACATAAAATACATCGGGAACATTTGGGACGATCCTTCAACTCTACAAATATTTTTAATATTGAAATATTCTAATAAATATAATAAATAAATTTAAGAAAAACATTACATGCTAATGGCTATTCACATTTACAGCATTGATAGGATAGGGCGTTTAATACAATCCAACATTATTAGTGACTTAAACATTATTGGTAAAATATAATTATACTTTCTGTAATATGATAGGACATCTGTCTCAGTCTACAAGTCTTTAAATGACAAAAAGTGGGACCATCTTATTAAAGTCAAAATCAAGATAAACATGTAGACTGTTATGTATTACTATTTGGGGTATATTAACCAAAATAGTTATATAAGAAAAATAGTTGAAACAAATGGCTGAAACTACTGTTATTTAGTATGAATAACATCTATTGCAAACATCCAAGAATATAAACTAAAAAGTACCGTAAACTATTTAAAAAATTCAGTAAAGCATCTTGGAAAAACATTGTATACAGAAATTACATATACATATTAGAAGTGTGTATGTATGTTTGTGTATGTGAAGATAGGATTGAATAAAAGGACTTCATTTACCACAGGAAAAAATATGTATATAGTATCTCAGAGGGAAAAAACTTAACGAAGAATGTGAGTCAATAAATAGGAATAGAACTGAAGAGGCCAAGGATAATAGAAACTTACAGCTGGCTCTTGGTATTGGTACTTATACTGTCAAAGAGAGAATAGAGAAGCACTTTGCAGGTGATGTTTGGAAAAAAAGGTTGAAAGAATAATGGAAGGGAGCAGCAAAAAAGTTTTTACCAATTTACTACTACATTTACCAATCTAGTTCAATGCCTACAAGAGTCTGAGTGATGTCTCAGTGGACAAACACAGCTCCTGCAGTTCTTGGTAATCTACTGAACACGTGTGGAAGGCTAAAACCATGTAAGCTGGTTTTCAATGCGATCTTGAAAAGAACATGGGCACGAAAGCAGAAACCTAGATAGTTACATATATATGATTGTGATAATAGAGTCAATTTGAACCCTGATCCTGACCCAATTAGTTGTGATCTCGGGCAAGTTACTTAACCTCCCTTCATCCATAAAATGAAGATAATGAGAAATCCTCCCTCAAAAGTTTGTGGTGATGGTATGATATAAAAAGTGCACATAAAAAGCACTTAGTAGAATGTCCAGATCATAGTAAGAGTTTAATAAAAAGCTATTCTTGGCATTGGTAATATTATATATATATATGGTATATATAAATGGTGTGTATATATATATATATATATATGGCGTGTGTGTATCTATCTATCTATCTATCTATCTATCTATCTATCTATCTATCTATCTATCTATGGTACGACTTTCCAGAGATAGAACAGCATTTGCTGTCTGTTATGGTTAATATTGAGTGTCAACTTAATTGAAGAATGCAAAGTATTGTTCCTGGGTGTGTCTGTGAGGGGATTGACAAAGGAGATTAACATTTGAGTTGGTGGACTAGGAAAGGGAGACCCAGCTGCCAGCATAGCCAGAACAGAAGGAGGCAGAAAAAATGTGGAAAGACTAGACTCATTTAGTCTTCTGGTCTTAATAAACTCCCCTTTATATATACACCTATTCTATTAGTTCTATCCCTCTAGAGAACACTGACTAATAGAGATTTTGGTACCAGGAGTGGATCTAGAAAACAGAATATTAAGGATGGAGTTCTTTTGTTGGTTTTGCTCCTAAGTTCACTGGACAAAGTGATGAAAGAAAATTATGAACTCAGGGATTCTAACTCTCAGCTTCAGAAGCAGATACTGAGCCTCAAATCTTCTAAGATTGTCCTGAATGAGAGCTTTATTTTCTGTAGAGAAAGAGCTGAAATTGTGGACAATCAGACACAAGCTTTTATCACGTGATTTGCTGACCTGCAACAAAAGGTGCACGCACAGACTCACCAGGTGTCTCCTGTTAAAGCGAGAGCATTGATTGAAAAAGAATGGGACCTGGCAACTTGGAATGGGGATGTGCAGTAGGACCTTGATGAAGCTGGGGACACTGAGCTTGTAAACTCTCACCAGCCATTTTTGCCAGAAGAAACAGCTTCCCCAATCACCAGTAGTGACAACATCCACTCCCTAACCTACACTGCCATAAGCCTTTTCACCTTTGCCTGAGGAGATAAATCCTGCACTGCCTAATACAACAGTGATGGCCTCTCCTCAGGCAGTTGCCAAGCAAGACAATGTTGATTCTCCTCAGGACCCACCCTAAGGTCCCTGTTTGCTTCTAGACCTATAACTAAAGTCTCAGCAGGCCCCTAGAAGTGAGGTTCAAAATGCGATCCCCGAGAAGGTGCACTACACTTGAAAAGAACTGCTTGAGTTTTCTAATTTATATAAGCAGAAATCTGGAAAACAGGCATGGGAATGAATATTAAGGGTATGGGATAATGGTGGAAGGAACATAGAGTTGGATCAGGCTGAATTTATTGATTTGGGTCCTCTAAGCAGGGATTCTGCATTTAATGTTGCAGCTTGCGGAGTTAAAAAAGATTCTAGTTTATTTGTTTGGTTAGCTGAAATATGGATTGAAAGATGGTCCACTGTGAGCGAGCTGAAAATGCCTGATCTCCTTGGGTTAATGTAGAAGAAGGGATCCGAAAGCTGAGGGAGGTTGGGATCGGGGAGAGGATTAGTCACTTTAAGCCTACTCATCCCAGCTGGGAGGGTTCAGAAGATATACCCTTGACCAATACTTTGTGAAATAGATTTGTGAGGGCAGCACTTGCATCCTTGAAGAGCTCTGTGATTGCTCTTCTATGTACGCCAGATCTTACAGTGGGAACTGCAGTCACTCAACTACAAAATTTAAATGCAATAAAAATAATTGGATCCAGAGGTGGCAGGGGCCAAATGGCAGCACTCAACCATCAAAGGAAAGGTGGGCATAGCTACCATAACGGATAGAAGAGGCAAAGCAGCAATCAGAATAGTCTGACTTGTGTAGAGCTCTGGCATTGGCTAATTAATCACAGTGTTCCTAGAAGTGAAATTGATAGGAAGCTTACCAAATTCTTACTTAATTTATATAAGCAGAAAACTTCCAGGTCAAGTGGACAAAACACTAATTTGAATTATAAAAACAGAGAATCGCAGCCCCACATCAATTTCCAGACATGTGCCATTTTACAGACCCAGAACTCCTTGAATGAAAAGGAGACCAGGTCCTCTTAAGGAAGGATCCCACTACACTACTGACAATTTATGCTGTTAATCTTTCTCCCATCCTTCAAGGAGACCTCTGGCCTTATACCAGGGTAACTGGATTGGGGAAAGAAAGAAAAATGATCAGACCTTTTAGGGACTACTGGACACTGACTCTGAGCTGACATGGATTCCAGGGGACCCAAATGTCATTATGGTCCTCCAGTTATAGTAGGGGCTTATAAAGGTCATGTAATTAATGGAGCTTTAGCTCAGGTTCAACTTACAGTGGGTCCAGTTGGTCCCCACACTCATCCTGCACTCATTTCCCCAGTGCCAGAATGCATAATTGGCATACAGATGCTTAGCAGCTGGAAGAATCTCCACATTGCCCCCTGACTTGCAGGGTGAAGGCTATTATGGTGGAAAAGGCCAAAGGAAGCCATTAGAGCTGCGTCTACCTAGAAAAGCAGTAAATACTCCCAGCTTGGATGAGTAGGCTTTAAGTGACTAATCCTCTCCCCCATCCCAAACTCCCTAAGCTTTCGGATCCCTTCTTCTACATTAACCCAAGGAGATCAGGCATTATCAGCTCGCTCACAGTGGGCCATCTTTTAATCCATATTTCAGCTAACCAAGCAAATAAACTAGAATCTTTTTTAGTTCCGCAAGCTGCAACATTAAATGCAGAATCCCTGCTTAGAGGACCCAAATCAATAAATTCAGCCTGATCCAACTCTATGTTCCTTCCACCATTATCCCATACCCTTCATATTCATTCCCGTGCCTGTTTTCCAGATTTCTGCTTATATAAATTAGAAAACTCAAGCAGTTCTTTTCAAGTGTAGTGCACCTTCTCGGGGATCGCATTTTGAACCTCACCTCTAGGGGCCTGCTGAGACTTTAGTTATAGGTCTAGAAGCAAACAGGGGCCTTAGGGTGGGTTCTGAGGAGAATCAACATTGTCTTGTTTGGCAATTGCCTGAGGAGAGGCCATCACTGTTGTATTATCTCCTCAGGCAAAGGTGAAAAGGCTCATGGCAGTGTGGGTTACGGAGGGGATGTTGCCACTACTGGCGATGGGGAAGCTGTTTCTTCTGGCAAAAATGGCTGGTGAGAGTTTACAAGCTCAGTGTCCCCAGCTTCATCAAGGTCCTACTGCACATCCCCATTCCAAGTTGCTGGGTCCCATTCCTTTTCAATCAATGCTCTCGCTTTAACAGTAGACACCTGGTGAGTCTGTGCGTGCACCTTTTGTTGCAGGTCAGCAAATCACATGATAAAAGCTTGTGTCTGATTGTCCACAATTTCAGCTCTTTCTCTACAGAAGATAAGACTCTCATTCAGGACAATCTTAGAAGATTTGAGGCTCAGTATCTGCTTCTGAAGCTGAGAGTTAGAATCCCTGAGTTCATAATTTTCTTTCATCATTTTGTCCAGTGAACTTAGGAGCAAAACCAACAAAAGAACTCCATCCTTAATATTCTGTTTTCTAGATCCACTCCTGGTACCAAAATCTGTATTAGTCAGTGTTCTCTAGAAGGATAGAACTAATAGGATAGTCAGTGTTCTCTAGAGGGGTAGAACTAATAGGATAAGTGTATAGATAAAGGGGAGTTTAGTAAGACCAGAGGACTAAATGAGTCTAGTCTTTCCACATTTTCTCTGCCTCCTTTTGTTCTGGCTATGCTGGCAGCCGATTGATTGAGGGTGGGTCTCCCTTTCCTAGTCCACCAACTCAAATGTCAATCTCCTTTGTCAACCCCCTCACAGACACACCCAGGAACAATACTTTGCATTCTTCAATTCAATTAAGTTGATACTCAATATTAACCATAACAGACAGCAAATGCTGTTCTATCTGTGGAAAGTCGCACTATATGTATATATATATATAATATTGAACATTAACTTGATTGGATTGAAGGATGCAAAGTATCATTCCTGGGTGTGACTGTGAAGGGCTTGCCAAGGGAGATTAACATTTGAGTCAGTGGACTGGGAAAGGCAGATCCGCCCTCAGTGTGGGAGGGCACAATCTACTCAGCTGCCAGTGTGGCCAGAATAACGCAGGCAGAAGAACATGGAAAGACTAGATTGGTTTAGTCTTCAGGCCTACATCTTTCTCCCGTGCTGCATGTTTCCTGCCCTCAAACATCAGATTTCAAGTTCTTCAGCTTTGGGACTCAGACTGGCTTCCTTGCCCCTCAGCTTGCAGATGGCCTATTGTGGGACCTCACGTTGTGACTGTGTGAGTCAGTACTCCCTAATAAACTTCCCTTTATATATGTACATCTATCTTATTAGTCATGTCCCTCTAGAGAACCCTGACAAATACACTCTCCTTCAAATCTCGCACTTCCACTGTACACAGGTGAAGGAGAGCAGAAATTAAGCTCCATTATAAAACTCTAAACTATCTCATTCTCAGTTTTATAAATAAATGGAAACCCTATAATACTAGAATAAATTCCCTGATTCTAACCTCAATCTGCCTTATAAATTTTATTTTTCTTTTGTCAATAGATAAAACTTGGTATTTTATTCTCAAATTTACCTCAAATTTACTTTTAATTTGCCTCAAAACTCTTTTGTGTTCTCTCTTGGGAGAATGTTTTTAAAGCTAAATTCCAATTCTAATTTTAATTTAATATCAATCATAGTAACTTATTAAACTTATGAAACAAAATGTATCAAATAACAATTTAATTTTCTCAGGTAACAATTTCCTGAGATTTGATAGTCAATAGACTATATATGAGAAACTGCCTGCGCACCAGCCACGTCTCCTCTCTTTCCTTGCTAACTAAACCATCATTTTCTTCAGTTTTTCCTGAGCTAAAAGGTAGTGTAGGCTCCTCCCAGCTACAGAGGTAAATCTTAATTAGTCTAAGCCAGTAATGGCAAGTTCGTTATCCTTACTGATAGTTGATTTGGGCATATGTATATAAAATATTTATCAAAAATGGATGTGTCTACCATCTCCCCTCTGGTATAGTCTGCTTGCAGTTCTTGATGAAATCCTTACACCACCAAATTAAGCAATTCTGGAAATAAGCCCCTAATCTCATTGTGAAACAATCAGTGCTTTCATTGCTTAAGTCATTCCAGTTTGGGTCTTTGGCAATGTGTTGCTGTAATAGATCCTAACTGACTTATGTAAAGTATTTAATCTGCCTAATTTTAAGTTTTATATTATTATTACTATTTTAAATATGAGAACACTGAGTTTAAAAAGGTTAGATACCATTCTCAAATTTGCAGAATTACAAGACAGAGTTAGAATACAATTGCAAAGATCAGGGTATTTACACCTCTATTATGTGATCTCCAATTATATCAAAAAATACCCTACTCACCATCACGGACCCCCAAATTGTGTACCCAGCATACACAGAAATGGGACGTTCTTCATAAGAACTAAACGCCACACACATCATTACTATTCCCATGCTAAGGCTCATCAAGGCAATCAGAATCTGCACAACCTAGAAATGATGAAGAAAGCAAAAACTGATTATCCACCACAAAAATGGTACTAATGCCACCCCCTTTCCAATCACTAAGCTATCCTTATTCTTTTTATTTCATACAGTCATATGACCTTGATATTCTGTTGTCACTCTTTTTTTTCACATAAAGAACCATGAATATTTTCTCACCAACATTATCTCTCAGGATCTCTACCATTGTCAATCATTTCACGGTTAAAAGGAGCATGCCAGACCCAGCCCACAGGTGCTTTTCTGATACCTAGGATGCTACTTCTACCACAACGGTTTCTCTCTGTTGTCACACACTCAGAGAGAAGTGGCCAAGGAATTAGAAAGCAATTATTCTAGCAAGGGGAAGTAACCTGAAGAAAAAAGAGTGTGTACAGGGGAAGAAAAAAAGAAGAGCAAATCTGATATTTTCTTGACGTCTGGGGCCTGAGGACATGAGTATGAGTAAACAGCGTTCTTAAAATAGGAGAGTTGGAGTACAATTATCTCATGGCATTAAAAATGGGTCAAAAAAATTAAAACAACATCAAAATTTATGGAATGTAGAGAAAGCAGTGCTTAGAAAAAAATTATAACATTGAATGAATATATTAGAAAATAATGATCTAAAATCAATCACCTGAGAGTCTACCTTAAGAAACTAGAAAAAGAAAAGCAAATTAAATTCCAAGTAAGCGGAAGAAAAAAACATGAAATAGAAATTAGAGCAGAAATCATAAAATTAAAAACAGAAAATTAATAGACAAACTCAACAAAACCCAATGCTTTTTTTTTTAAAAAAAGAAAAATACATAAATAAAACCAATAAGCCTCTAGCCAGTCTAAGAGAAAGAGAGAGAGGACACAAATTACCCATAAGTGAAAGAGGGAACATCACTCCAGTTCCCACAGAAATTAAAAGGATAATAAAATAATGCTATGAACATTTCTATGCCGACAATTTGATAACCTTGAGACAATGAATTGCTCCTTAAAGACAGTTTGTCAAAACTCACACAAAAGAAATAGGCACTCTGAATAAGCCTATAATTATTAAATAAATTAAATCAATAATTAGTAAAATTTCAAAACAGAAAGCACCAGGCCTGGAAAAGTTAATCAGTGCATTCTACCAGACACTTAAAAAAGAAATTATACCAATCCATTCTTTACAGAAAATAGAAAAAGAGGAAATACTCCCTAACTCATTCTATGGAGCTAGCACTATTATCTACCAAAAAAAAAGTCAAAAACATTACAAGAAAAGAAAACTGCAGACCAACATCTCTGGTGAACAAAGATGTAAAAATTCCCAACAAAACATATGCAAACTAAATATAATAGTGTATCAAAAGAATTATATACCATGACCATGTGGGATTTATCCCAGATATGCAAGGCTGATTAGATATTCAAAAATCAATGAATGTAACTAATGACATCAACAGGCTGAAAGGAAGAAAAATCACATGATTATCTCAACAGATGCAGGAAAAATATTGAACAAAATCCAATGCTGGTTTATTATAAAAACTTTTGAAAAACTATTAATAGGGAAGAACTTCTTTAGGTTGATAAAGAATATTTATTCAAAAAACTACAGCTAACTTCATACTTAATGGAGAAATTCAAAGCTTTCTCACTAAGATCAGGAAAAAGGCAGGGATGATCCCGTCACTACTCCTTTAAACATTTACTGGAAGTCACAGCTGAAACAGTAAGAAAAGAAAAGGAAATAAAGGTATACAATTGGTAAGGAAAAAATAAAACTACTTTTATTCACAGATGACATGATTGTCTGTGTAGAAAATCTGAAATAATCAACAAAAAACTCCTGGAACTAATAAATGATTATATTAAGGTTGTAGGATACAAGCTTAATACACAAGAGTCAATTACTTTCTTATGTACTTAGAGTAAATAAGTAAAATTTGAAATTAAAAACGCAATACTATTTAAATTAGCGCCCCCCAAAATTAAATATTTAGGTATTGGTATTTGGTGTTTGTTAGGCATAAATTTAACAAACTATGTACAAAATCTGTAAGAAAAACTTAAAAAAATAAATCAAATAACTAAATAAATGGAGAGATATTCCATGTCCGTGGATAGGAAGACTCAACATTGTCAAGATGGCAGTTGTTCCCTATTTACTCTGTAGGTTTAATGCTATCTCTCTCAAAATATTAGCAAGTTATTTGTGTATATTGAAAAACTGACTCTAAAATTTATAGGGAAAGGCAAAAGACTTAAAATAGCAAAAACAATCTTGAAGAAGAAGAAGAAGGAGTTGTAGGAGTAACACTACCCAACTTTAGGACAAACTATAAAGTGATAGTAATCAGGACTATGTGGTATTGGCAAAGAAATAGACAAATAGATCAACTGAATAGAATAGAAAGCCTAGAAATAGACACAGAAGTATAGTCAAGTGATCTTTGATAAAGGGCTAAGGTAATACAATTAGAAAAATAGTCTTTCCAAAAAAAAAAAAAAATATGACTTAAAAAACTGGACCTCCATAGGCAAAAATTGAACTTAGACACATACCTTGTATTCTTCACAAAAATTAACTCAAAATAAATCACAGACACAAATGTTAAACTCAAAACTCTGAAACTCTTAACAGATGACACAGGCCAAAATCTAGATGACCTTGGTTTTGGTGATGAATTTGTCAATAAAAACCAAAGGCACAACCCATGAAATACAGAATTAATCATCTTAATTTTATTAAAATTAAAAAAATTCTGCTCTGCAGAAGACACTGTCAGGAGACGAAAAGATAAACCATAGACTGACAGAAGGTTTTGCAAAAAACATACCTGACGAAGGACTGTTATCCAAAATATACAACAAACTTAAAACTCAGCATTAAGCATACTAACATCTCAGTTAAAAAAAAGTGCCAAAAACTTTAATAAGACACCTCAAGAAAGAAGATACAGAGATGGTAAATAAACATATAAAAAGATGCTCCACATCTTATGTCACCAGGGAAATGAAAATTAAAATGGTAATGAGACTGGACTACACACCTATTAGAATGGTAAAAATCCAGAACATTGAGGACACCAAATGCTGCCTATTATGTAGAACAGCAGGAACTCTCATTCACTGCTGACTGACATCTTCCACATCGCAAAGTAACAGGGAAGACGGTTTGGCAGTTTCTTACAAAACTAAACATGCTCTTACCATACAATATAGCAATCATACTTACCTGTTAAGTTGAAAACTTATGTCCACACATAACATGCACACAGATATTTATAGCAACATTACTCCTAATTGCCAAAGTTTGGGAGCTATCAAGATGTCCTTCAGCAGGTGAATGCATAAATAAACTGTGGTACCTCTACACAATGAAATATTATTCAGCACTAAAAATAAATGAGCTATTAAGCCATAAGAAAACATGGAGGAGATTTAAATGCATGTTATTAGGTGAAGGAAGGCAGTCTTTAAAAACTACCTATTTTACAATGTTAACGGTATGACTTTCTGGAAAAGGCAAACTATGAAGACAATAAAAGATTAGTAGTTGCCAGGGATTGGTGGGAGGAAAGGATGAATGGGCAGAGCACAGAGAATGTTTAGGGCAGTGAAACTACTTTGTATGATACTATAAAGGTAGATTCTATCACTATACCTTTGTTAAAACCCATAGAACACACAACACAGAGAATGAACCCCATTGTGATTTGTGTACTTTGAGTAATGATGTGTCAACATAGGTTCATCAGTTGGAACAAATGTCCCACTCTGGTGGGGGAAGTTGATAATTAAAAAGCTATGCACGTGTCGGGGCAAGGGGCATATGGGATATACCTGTACTTTTGCTCTCAATTGTTCTTTAAGCCTAAAACGTCCCTAAAACATGCAGTATATTTTAAAATAATTATTTATACATTAAAAAATTGAACCTAGTATGTGCCAACATAAATAACCTATTTCATGAAAAATAGCTATATTCCCCCCAAAAAAATGAATAATGCAAAAAAAAAAAAAAAAGAAGGAATCCAAAGAGTCCACAATCATATTTTCTCAGTGGTTTGAAGCTTGGGCTAGTGATAAACCTATATTTCATGTTCTTTCACCTGCCCTAACCTGACATTCTTTTAATTCTACATTGTTTTTAGACACGTTCACTTGAGACTCCAGATGGAAATGCTCAGAGAATAACAGATTTTTCATCCTCTGAGCAGTGGGCTAAGAAAAGGTACCAGACAGAAAGGGTAGCAATATGCATCTATCTGCTATCAGGAAGGCCTGTGGAGGGGGCGTCGGCTAGTGCACAGGTGGTCTTTTCTTTTGCTGTTCTTCTATGCTGAAGTCAAATATAATTATCATGGATGATCCACAACCATAGAATAGATCTGAAGTCAATATACTTTAAATATAACTAATTTGGAAGCATGATGTGGTAGAATATGATATATTTTTTCAAAGAAAGGGCCTGAAATTAAATACTGATGTTGCTAGGGCTGGTTGATGTATTAAGAGGCTGGTGGGACAGTGTATTTGGCATTAGATCTGATCAAACATGAGTTTACAACACTATTGGTCTTCTCCCAGATTTGCAACTGACTTACCCCAAGGACTTTGGGTTCCCCCTTCAAGAACTTCTCTTGCAATCCTTTCCACAGATATGAATGTATGACACCCATGTTTCCCAACTGGGGCACACCAGGGCCAGCCCCTGGCGTAGCCTGTTCCATTCCTTGCATGGTTGTCATGGCAGCAGAAAAGGTGCTACAATAAGAAATGTAATTTAGGATGAGGTCCTGGAAATGACAAAAGAAAGACTTTATACTTTCGGGCAGATTCCCCCAAGGACAAAACCTGGTCTACCTGTCCCTCCAATATTATAACAGTTGTTACAGCTAGGGAAGTGGAAGAGGCAACACATTAAGCAGGGGTGGAGAGAGAGATAGAGAGATTGACTTAAATGTTACATGATATCAATAATATGCTAGAAGAGAGGACATGTTGACAGAAATGAGGTAAATTAGAGAAATTTCTTCAACTTCAAATCCCAAGTCTGCTCAGATTTTATTTCTATCCCTTTTAAAGCCTAGTCCCTTGATTAGAGCCACTTCCCCGTGAAGGATTACTTTTGTAATAGTAATAAGCTACACAAACTCATCTGCCTTCCAATTTATGGTACAGTATTGTATAGCTCCTCCTTTTATAACCAGAGCACAGTTAAATTCTCAGGGCTGAAAATCTTCCCATGTAACCTTGTATTTTGTCCCATAAGCTCTGAACTTTGGGAATAAAACTTACGGCTCTGAGTCATATTCTTTGCACCACAAATTTAAATCTCTTTTCCTATTACAGTACTTTAAATTCTAACTTGCTGGTGCATAGCAAGGATACATAAAGCCATTTTTTGAGATTCCAAGCACAAAGATATTACTGTTATGCCTCTGTCTCTCCTCAGTATGACTCCAACCAAGTAACGTGGAGATAGGCTAAAGCCACATGGAAATTTTTATCTGTGTATTTCAATTCATATTCAGATGTTTCATGGCCCACTTCCATAAAATTTTAGGGAAGTGAAGCTTGCTAATATCCTTCAAGTCATGGTTGATTTCAATGGAGCATATATGCTAAAAAGTCTTAACTTTGGAAATGTGCACCCTTTTATTGGTAACATAATGAAAAAAAAAGTTATTGTAGCCCAAATTTGCTATGTTCAGAAAAAATTCAGATTTCTGTGGAAATAATTGTCATCCTATATTTACCTTTGATAAATCAATGAAAATACATTATTAGCTATCTGGCAATAAAATTGATTAAAGTTAGGAGAAGGAGGGTGAATTTCAGAGAAAGCTAGAGGGGAAAAGTTAAAATAAAAATAAAAGATTAATCATTTAGAACATTAATTTTAGTAATGTAGACATTCAAAGTTATGAAAAGCAGTAAAAATAAAAAGTACAAAATTACAAATTATAAAATAAGAAAAGTATTTTTTAAAAGAAAGATAAATATAATTAATAATTAATAAGAAATATATAATGTAAATGTGATTGAAGTAGTTAAGGACTTAAATGTAAGGATGTAAACAAAAAGTCAATGTTCTTGTTCTTATCTCGTCTAGAAAAGTTCCAAAAACAATTTGGACAAACAGAATTAGAACTCCATTTTGTTATGAAAGTGAGAAACAAGTAAAATCTCTGTAAATCAGGTGAAATGAGTGTTAAAAACAAAGATTGCATAAGGATAAATTTGGGGGAAAATGTAGAAAAAGTACACAGATTTCAGATTATACTTATCAAAGATAAGAGTCTCCTTGAGGTATACGGCATAAATTATTGATCATAATCCTGGGAATTAAATGCATCAGCTGATACCTATCACTTCCCTGGAGAATTATAGTTCTGAGAACGATCAAAGTCAGTAGTAAAGGAGAAATCCCACCAAAAAGACACATGCTTAGAAAACAATTAGTCTCTGAATAAGTCTTACGTTGGAGTCCATAAAGAAGGAAGTAGATATCCTTGATACAAGCCTCCAAGAAGACCCACAGATTAGGAGCATCTAGATATATACCAAATATAGAATATGTAAAAAGTATGGATACTTTATTCAATTGAAAATGAAATCACAAAAATGAAAAGTTAAAGTGCAAAAAGTGACACAACATTTTGCAACATGGTCTCAAACAAATTTCAAATATAAAATAATGTTGACAGAAAAAATTTTGCCACTGTGTTAAATAACAAGGAATAGCTGAAAGTAGAATTAGTCAACTGGAAAAAAATTGAACAAATCACCAAGAATTCTACAGAGAAACAAGAAAATGGTCACAATAGAAGAAAGGTTAAAAGATGAGAAGTGTAGAATTAAAAGGTCTAGAATATGTCTGATTAGAATTCTAGAGAATGTCAGCAACATGGACAACTAGAAGTTACTAACCCTCATCACCATCACAAAGACACACACACACACACACACACACACACAAAATGAATAAATAGCTACATTCCAACCAAAATAACTAAAGAAGAGCACCAGAAAACAGCAAAGGAGTAGCAGAAACCTTGTAAAGCACAGAAACCCAGGATGGCTGCATGAAGAAGGAGAGAAAATACCTTTCTTCCACCACCCTTCCCCCAGTTAGACCAGCTCTGAGTCAGGAGGGCCTTCTTCCTGCAGGGAAAAGGTAAGTGACAGGACCCCAGCAGCTCCCAACACCACCATAGACACCTGCAATCCTACTGGAGACACTTAGCATCTTCACAGACCCTGAGCTCAGCTGACGGAGCTACCTGAAGTCCACATGTCTGTTCTATCTCAGAGGAGGAGCTGACACTGTGCCCTGGCCCCCATGGCCCGAGCTGCTACTGTGCTTCCCCTTGTTGGAACTGAATCACTGCTAGAGTGCATTCTGCTTCAGAGTAGCCATTGTACCCCTCCATCTCTGAGGCTTAACCCCTACTACACTATGCACACCTGCGAGCCATACCTGAGCCATACCTGAGCCAAACGGCTGCTATCTACTCTCTACCTGCCGAGGCCAGGCTGCCATGGAACTGCTCCATGCCCCCATCTTAGTTGCTGGTGCACCCTGCCCCTCCAAACTCAAGTTGAAACTGTGCTCCTCTGTCTGGGCACCCATAGCTTTGATTGAAATATGTCACCCCACCATCCAGGCAAAATAGTGCAGTGCCCCACCTCCCTGGAACTGACTAGTCCCCTGGAGTCTAAGCTTCTGAGAAACCCTGGCTCCCTAGGGGGTCATTTCTGCACTGCTCCAAGAAACCCAAGGAAAAAGCTACAGACAGGCCTAGCCATTCCCGAGGCCTTGCTGCTGCTACATCCAGCCTTACACAGCCTGGGATATTGCCATGCCCTGCCGTCTCAGGGTCTAAAGTTACCACTGTGTGGCACTCCATCTCCCAGGGTTGGAGTTGCTGCTTTACCCTATTGGCTCTGGAACCCAAATTTGAACTGTAACCTGCTCCTCAGAACTCAAGCCTCCAGAGCACGCCTCCTTCCCTGGAACCTTGATGATGTTGTGCACTGACCCCAGAATCAGTCTCAATTCCATCCCTGCTTCGCAGGCTTGAGTTACTGAGGTGTGCTTTAGAGTTATAGCCTCAGGTTTGTGGGTAATCTGCATCCAGCCATGACTGGGTGAGTGATCCTGTGCCAGATGCCACAGTAGTTTTGCAAGACCCTGAGCCTAGGACCTCAGCTCGCACTGCCACTATGCCTGGAATACCTGTGCCTGGAAGGCACAAGCTGTAAACCTTGGTGGAATCCATGTGTACAGGCTCACAGACTGCAAGAGCTGTAGGGGCATGGCTTTCTCCAACTAGGATCAAAGAATGTCACATATAGCTACGGGAGTGGAGCCACTTCTAAGAGCCTCTATTAGGGCAAAGCTGAGTGGGAATGCGGAGTCAGAGCCAACACAGACAGTCACAGTTAGGGATATGCCTAGTGGAGCCAAGGGAGTGGGGCTACCTTTGAGATCTCAGAACCATAAGGCCACTAGCATGCAACTCCAACCTAACAGACCTGAAGCACGGACTGAGCCCAGCAAAGATATGGGAGCGGGGCCATGTCTGAGGGCCCCAGTCAGCATTCCCAGGATTCAGGACATGGAGTCAAAGGAAATTATTCTCCAGATTTAAAGCTTAATGCTGTCTTCTCTGTTGGGTTTTGGACTCACTTGAAACCAGTTATGCCTTTTTCTTGCCTGGTTCTCCCTTTTGAACTGAGAGAGTCTATTCTGTACCTGTCTCACCATTATATTTTGGAAACAAATCACTAGTTTTGATTTCACAGGTTCACAGCTGGAAACATTTGCCTCCCGATAAATCATACCTTGAGTCTCATCCATATCTGCTTCTGACGACTCTGGACTTAGAACTTTAAAGTTGATGCTAGAATGGGTAAAAACTTTTGAGGCGATTGAGACAGAATTAATGTATTTTGCATGTGAGAAGAACATGAGTTTCAGAGGGTTGTGAATGAAATGCTATGGTTTCAATGTTCCCTCTAAAACTCATGTGAAAACTTAATTGCCATTGTAACAGTTTTAAGAGGTGTGACCTTCTAGAAATAATTACATCCAGAGACCTTCATCCTCATGAATGGATAAATATCATTATCTTGGGAGAGGGTTAATTATGGCAGGAGTGGACTCCTGATAAAAGAATAAATTTGGCCCCATCTCTCTCTCTTTGCTTTGTGCACTCACTTCCACCTTCCTCCATGGGATCACCCTCACCAGAGGTTTACATCATGTGTGCCCTTAGACTTCCCAGCCTTCAGAGCTATAAGAATTATAAGAACTGCAGCAGATAAATGAATGATAAAAAATTAAACGCTTAGTACTTCATAAAATTACCAAATCACAAAAGGATACAAGAGATGAAGAAATAAAGAAATATCTGCAAAAACAACCACCCCCAAAATAACAAAATAGCACTACTAACTACTTACCTGTTAATAACAACCTTAAATATAAAGGAATTAAATTCTTCAATCATAGAGTGGCTGAATTTAAAAAAAAAAACAAGATCTAACTATATGCTATAAGAGTCTCACTTTAGCTTTAAGAAAAAAACATAGGCTGAAAGTGAAGGGATGAAATACTTCATGCAAATAGTAGTCAAAGGAGAAGGATTGCCTATACTTAGATCAGATAAAATAAGCTTCAAATCAAAAACTGTCAAAAGAGGCAAAGAAGGTCATCATTTAATGAGCTACTGAGCATACAGTGTAGGTAACAGAAG